CAGATACAAAGAGTGTTCCTGAGCAGAGAGGTGGCTCACATGGCCCGCAACATTGTAATAATGATTATGATTCTCGTTTTCTCCAACTTTATCCTCTACCCAAACTCCTGCAGTGTGTCTCATATTATGTCCAGACCACATTGGCAACACAAGGGCTTCAACTTGGCTTCAAAAGTTAATAAAAGTCAATCTTCCTCTAGAGTTTTCTGACCACTTGTTAAAAATCATTTCAACTTTCAAGTATTCTTGTTAGAGGCAGGGGACCGAAGGCATATTAAATCAGTTGGCCAATCTGACTTAAATCTTAGTGAAAAATTAACCATGCCTTCCCCATGCAAAGACTGGCACTCTTTAACAGACGGTGGTTGCTGATTTTCCCTTTCTACAAACTGTGCGCCAGTTCATTTGAGAGGATAAGAGGTAAAGAAGGAACAGGTTGGCACAAAACAATTATCCTGTCAGATAAAATGAGACCTCTGACCTGTGGACAACTCCACCCGTTTGTCTAGACAGAAGAATCAGAATAATTGAAGGGCAAGTTTTCAAAGTGGACAAAATGCTTATTTATGTCTGGATGAATAGCTGGAACTTCCACTTGTTAAATATTTGGTAGTAATAAGAAGGTAAATTGGTTCTCATTTGGCTGATTAGACTCAGAAAGAAAGAAAAGTTTACTCTCGTAGTGACAGCTCTGAGACCATCTAGGGCAGCCATAACCTCTGAGACCTAGCCTCAGAGCCAGCTTTGTGGGCGCGGGACCAACAGTCACACTGTTCAGAAGGCCAGTGCTTAGGGTCCATTGCTGTGCACTTGCTGCCTTATAATTTGTAATAATTTTATCCTTCAATTTGTGTTTAGTTAATGAAGTTCAATGGGACAGTGGAGTCTTGAAGCTTCAGTTCACAGGTGGTCCCTGGTCCTACCTCCTTGCTGCCTCTCCAGGATGGGGAAGGTCAGGGTGGGTGTGTACCTTGCAGCATTTCAGGGTCATGATAAGGGAGCAGCCTTCTCTGTCTTGGGCTGGCAAAACCATGCTGTGTTTCATGGATGACTTGGCAGAAGTTCACCCGCCTTAAATACCAGCCATGTCCCAGTGTGAAGGTGGCAATCCCATGGCAGGGGTCACCCATCCCCTAAGAGTTGGGGCTGCCAGCCATCAGAAGGAAGGATTGATTTCTCTGTCCCTGCCAGGACCCTACATTTTCATTTTGTACTGGGTTCCACAAAGTATATAGCCGACCTTGTCTAACCTGATCACCAACAGACAACTCAGTTCCACAGAGCCATGTGGGGCCTCAGAAGGGCTGTTAGATCTAGTGTCTATATGTGTCCCCTCTGTAGAGCACAGTGGAAGATCTATCTGCTTCTTCGAGTCTTTCCTTCCACTGAGAAATATTGTAATATACATACAGTATATATTTGCTCTGCAATATGGAGAAATTACTTAACTATTAAGGGCCGCAGTAGGTAACTCTGTCATGTAGGAATAACAATACTACTGTTATAGACATAAAACAAGGTATCATAGGTAAGTACTTGGCAGTGCCAGGGTTGATGTAGATGTTCCATAAATTTTAGTTGCTATTATTGTGGTTATCATTATTTGCTATAGCTTCTGAAAGCAATTGCACAAGTATTTTAATACTATGAAGGACACACATTTTAATAAACTCGTTCGGAGTCTCAGTCTCCAGAGTTCTTAGGGTCTGTCAAATGCACTACAAATTTCCAAGAGGAGAAAAAAAAAAAAAAAAAACCCAAAAAAGGAAAGTCATACAATGAGAAGGGATCTTGGTTTTGTCCACTGTGATAACACACCCATGGCAGCTGTTCAGTTGTTGAGGTATAACAGTGTCTCACTTACTGTTTTGCTGGAGTGAGTGGATACAGGAGGTTTGCTGAAAGTGGAAGTCTAAGTATGTAATGTGGTGATCTACAGACCACAGATCTCTGTCACTGATGGGCTGGTGTCGTGGACCCACCCACCTGCCAATGACTGTCACCAATGCCATTCACTAGAACAGAGCTGATTGCTGACTTATGCAGCCTGGCACCCCTATGTAAATATTCTAACACATCTTTGGACTCCTGGGAAGTAAAGGAAGCTGTTTCACTACTCTGTCTTTGTTATTTGTGTAAGTAGTTATTATTTTCATAAACATCTTGAGCACTAAGTGTATACTTTTAGTTTTCTCTCTAATCTTCATAAACATCAAATAAAGAAACTATGCCTGCTTTATAGATAAGAACACTTGAGGCTCAGCTAAGTTAAATGGTTTAATCAAGACTTTCTAGTTAAACAGTGAGAGAGTGAGGGTTGAGATCCGGTTCTGTCTGACTTCAAGATCATGTATCTTAATTGCAAAGCCTCTCTTTCCAGCACAGCAAGTTAGCTCTCTGTAGGAATAATACCAACAGCAGGTAGTGGCTCAGCTTTAACACCAGACAGTATTCTAAGTGCTTAACATGTATTGGCTCATTTAATTCTGGAGACAGCCATATGAAGGAGGAATTACTATCCTCATTTTACAAGTGAGGAAACTGAGGCAGTAGGAAGCTAAGTAAACTGAGTCATATAGCCCGTTAGTGACGGTCAGGCTGTAAATAAAATGTAGTGTGGCTTCAAATGCTGTGGTCAACCAGCAGGCTAAGGGGTGAGAACTTCTAGAATATTAAAATGTTAACTGAAAAAGTATAATTTGACTTTCTAAAATAATATATAAGATATGTGCATTCAAATGAGTGTCTTTCAAAGTATTTAGTCAAAAGGTTTTTGCAATTTCTTTCAGAAACTGAAGCAAATAATAGTGATGATAGTACTAATAATATTAACAGCAGCTAGATTAATTTTATATCTATTGTGTGCCCAGCACTATGCCAAATGCTTTACATAAGTTATCTCATTTAATGCTTATGACAGTAATACCAACCATTTATACAGCAGAATAAAATTACTGAGGCTCAGAAAACTTAAGTAATTTTCTCTTTGTCATAGCATTATATGATGGTTCTAGGTTAAACTTGTATTATCTAAATCCACAATCTACATTCTTCACTTCTAAACTCCTAATACTAATACTTCACTACTAATACTCCATTTTTATATTATCTAAATCCACAATCTACATTCTTCACTTCTAAACTCCTAATACTAATACTTCACTACTAATACTCCATTTTTAAAATATATTTTTTTAATGGTAGAAAACTTTATCTTCATAGAATAGACTGGACTTGTAAAAAACAGTATAAGTTACTTGTGACTAAGCTCTAGGTTTTATGAATTTCAGGTACTTCTGATTCATTTTCCATTAAAACCACCATTTGATGAAAATACAGACTTCTTTTCTCTTGCAATCTATACATTGTCTGAAATCAGTCCCCAAAAGACAGAGGAGTGCACATTTGCACAATGGCAGCATCATAGTCAGAGTCTCCTAAGGTGACAACGTTGAGGGATGCTCTCACTTACAAGCATATTCATGCTCCATACCTGCCACTAACTCTTAACAGTGGAAATGATGAGCAGAGGCTTATCATATGCCTACTGGGCTAACCACACGAGGCTTGTAGGCACTATTCAAGCATCCTGTGAAGGCACTGGGTGTGCCACTCTACAGTGATTCTTATCCAGCAAGCCACATCCTCATTTACAGCACTTTCCTTACAGGGAGACCTTGCATGACTTTTAACAAGTGGTTTCAGAGAATCTACATTGTGTGTGGATCAATTTCATACTGTGAACAGTGACTGTACTGAATTGGGGACAGTTAATAATCTTGTGTGAAAAAATGCATCTCTTAAGTGAGTGAGGAAGTTGACAGATTTCCATTTCCCTTAGTTTTGCATGGGCCAAGACTAACTCATTCTTTGTTTTCCCAAGCCTTGCTGGAGGTTGCAAATAGCATCATTTTTCTTTCTAAAATGTAGTTCAGAGCTGGTTTTAATTTAATATATAGCTCAGAATTATATTTCATAGAAAAGAAGTGTTAAAATAGCTCAGTCATTCTTGGTAAAGAAATTACTGCAGTGGCGGGGGTGTGAGGCAGGGAAAGGGGAAGAGGAGAGAGACAGGGAAGGGAGAGGTAAGAAAAGAGAAGAAAGAGGTGGCTTTATTGCACATTTTTAGACTGCCATTCATATGAGGTGACTTCCCTTGTGGTCTGGAGTATGCTTCTTTAAGCAAAATTTCTTCTCCAGACTTAAAAACTCCATGACACACCTAAGATCAGCCATCTCCTGCTCCACCCTCAGCTAGTTTTCTCTCTTTTAACAGTTAGAAGCAACCTTGTTGGACAATAGTGTCTAGAATTTTCATAATACATGCTAGACAAATTCTGTCAGTTAACTAGGAAGTGGCCCATGATGAAAGGTGAAATTTAAAAGCAACAACTCTTAGAAGTAACATTTGCATATTTCCTAAAGTTTCCCCAACTCAAAAAAAATGCTTTTTATGTGGAATCTTCTATAGAGAACATTATTGAGCACAGCTGCTTGGAGAAAAAGCACTTAATTTGGATGGCAATATTTCTCTTAGAACAAGGAAAGAAATAGGTGGAGTTAATCATTTCTACTTTGAATTAAGAGAAATGCTAGTTACCAACAGAACAAAACAGAAGTCTAAAGGCAACACATTCTCACCAAAGGGGTAAAAAAAGGAGTTAGAAAAATATGCCTTAATGGATGAGACCCAGAAAAGAACATAATAAACAGTGAATAACTATAGAAAGCTATTTTAAAATAATTAATAATAAGAGTCACTGTGTCTGTAATTATTTAAAAGTCACTAATTACTTTAAAAATCCCAGGAGGCAAGTTTTCTTTTCCCCATTTTATAGAGGAAGGGCTGAGACACACAGGGGCAGGCCACTCAGAGCAGGTCACCTCGTCAGACAGTGGCAGAGTAGAGATTAGGCCCAAAGACTAAATTTCAGGCTCTTATTACCCCTTTCCAGGACTTGAGATAGCACTTGGGAGCAACCGAATGGCTTTCTGATTACCATGGCTTTGTTGGAATGGCCGCCTCCTTGGAACTCAATGGTCCCAAAAGCATCGGTAGGGCTGAGTTGAGTGTGTTTGCTGATGGACCACTTTTCAGACTGGATGTCATTTCGGGAGAGGCGACTTTCATTTTTCTCGTTCTGAAGCACAGAGATACTGGGGGTGAGGCCAACATGCTGGCCTATCAGACGCCCACAGCAACACCTATAAGAGAAGAGGTTAAAGTGAACCCTTGGTATTAGTCAGTATTGGGATACACACTTAAGGCAACCAGCTGGAGAATTCTAAAGTCTGTGCCAACACCTGTCAGTCAATTCTCAGGTAGAATTCCACCATGTGGCTAAATCAGGCATTGGTAAACTCAGGCTTTCTATGATATACATATCTTTTCTTTTCTCCCCTCTACCCATTTTCCTTTAGCTGTGTAAGCTGTAATCTGTCTCCTGCCCTTCTCCATCCACCTCTTTTGTACCTGGCATTTTGTTCAGGATTGGACACCTGCAAACAAAAGTTCTCTGGATTTTTCTACTTCACACTCTGCCCATCTATCAAATCTATCAAAGCATGAAGGCCCCTGAAGAGCTTTGAGGGGGAGAAGTTTAATATGCACATTTAAATGAGGAATCTCACTTATATGTGTGTCACAACTGAACATGTCTCTTCCCAATTGACATTTGCTGTCAAATATCCAATTCTGAGAATAAAAATCTGCAGGCTTAAGTGTTCTTGATGAAATTATGAAAAAATATTCATGAGATATTTGAAAACTTAAACTTTGCTCTATCATGAAAATGTCCTTCATACATTACTATTACTACTTTTACGACTACTAGTAATAATAGTTACAATACATAGCTGCCATTTATTAAAAACTAACAATTTAGCATCCATTGTATAGATGAAATATTGTAGTTTTGAAGGTTAGGTAATTTGTGCAAGGTTACACAGTCTCTGAGACTCTGCAGCCTATATTTTAAACTGATTTCTTAAATTGCCCATTCATAAAGGCATTTCAGACATATATATGCTACTTTATCCCAAATGCTTTTTATCTCATATATTGTTGATCCTAAGGAAGGTAAGTAAGGTGCTAACAACATGCTTAAATGGGAATCTGAAGGCCTACAGTTTAGTTAGGAATCTGCTAGGAGTCTTTTATTTAAGTCTCTTTCTTTTTTTCCTATTGCAGAACATGTTGGTACAAATTAAGCATTTGGAAGAAGTACTTAAAAGGAAAAACCAATAACCGTAACAAAAAACATAATCCACTATTATAGACGGTGATTAATTCCTTCCACAATGGTATTTATGTTTTTCTTTACAGGATTTTAGATTAATAATTAATTGTAGGCCTGACATATATAGCGTGTAGAAATAAGATTGCTTCAAAGGTGTCCAAAAACAATATAAAAGATATTTAATTTGACAGTGTTTCCCTTGCAACAGGTCATGATTACTCTTGTAGGTTTTTTGTATAATTACTACTTCATGTTCTCAACACATTATAGACAGCAAGATTACCTATGGGGGTCTTTGGTGCTGGGTATGATGTGGACACATTCTCTTTTATAAAATGCTCTTTCTATCCAGGATTTCTGAGCCTGAAAAAGAAAACACACACACACACACAAAAAAAAAAAAAAAAGAAAAAAAAAAGGAAAGGTGAATATACTGTGAAATATTTTTAACTAGAAAGCAAAATTTCATAATCATATGAGACTAGTATATCACAAATTGAATTGAAATTGTGATTATTTCACACATAAACACTAAATATAACAAAAGCAATTACTCCCCGTACATGCTGATTAGGTTATTTACCATCACAATACTGAGAATTAAAGGAACTGACCATAATAAAAAAAAGTTAGCAATGGAATCATATACAAATTCAAAATAGAAAGACAGTGCTATTTGCAGAAAAAATAAATTTGGAGGGATAGAATAGTGTGTTTGTAACCTTATAGAAAACAAGTATTCAGTAGTGGGAAGAAATGCATCTAAATAAGTATAAGGTTTTCACGGCTGACACTTCCATTAGATTTTCCTTGTAGAAGGAAAGAAAAAATGGCAAGAGAATTGCACAACTCAAAAGCCCTAATGTATCACTATGTTTTTTCTAATTAGTGGTGCTAAGTACAGGGGGGTGGGGAGGGGAGGAAATAAAAGCATGAGGAAGATAAATGTTTTTATCATAGTCCAAAATTTTACAGGTAATGCCTTTGGAAAAAAGTAAGATAGCACCATTTTTTTATGCACCCTACATGCCCTTCAGCAGAGCATATACAGCTTCTTAGAATGGGCACTGTTGGGTCCGTCCACCCAGAAGTCCTGCCACTGAGATTGGGTTCCCACATGGACAAAGGATGTTCCAAAAAACTGTACAATCTCTATTCTAAAGCAGTTGTCCATCCTGCATCCCTTCATGGTTTTCTTTACCAGTATTTGCAATAGCAGAGGAGTCTCCCATGAAATTCAACAAGCTGCTCAGAAGATTCCTTCTCTAAGCCTTTAAGATGGAAGTTGCTAGAGCAACCTGTAATGTTATTTCTACATGGTATCATCTTCTCTCTAATACAGCATCAGTACTAATTTCATACTCTTATATGCAGGGCTAAAGCACAACTGAGCTGTTGATTTGACCTGTCTCGATGGTATTAACTCTTATAAGCCCCCATGTGTTGAACCGTAATTAATCTTGACTCTGCCAATGACTCAGATGTCTATAAGCTGTGCTAAATTCTGATTGGTCCTCAGTACTTCAGTCTTGTACCTCCCTCCTCTCTCACAAGAGAAGTCTAGGCAAGCATGTGGCACCGAAGGCAGTAATTGCCTAATACTCATGACAATGCACATTTTACAAGGAGCAACATGAGCCATGGTTGAGGAGCACAAATAAACTGCATCCTGTTTCAGTAATGGTCACTATCATGTGGAATAATTTCTGGGTGTCCATGCATTGTCCACATGAAAAGGAATACCCACGCTGCCTCAGAGACCCTCAGGTTCAGGGGGGCCTCTGCATTCTCACACGACAAAGGTAACATTTGCAGGTTTGTCTTTCAGCTAAACATGAAAAATTCCCAATGTCTAATCTCAAATATTTTTCTTTTCAAACAGGTAGAAAAGGCTAATGGCTACCTCTTTGTAACAAAAATGAGCTTAGCAGCATAGACAGCCAGTCTTTATCTTTGTAAAAAGCCTGTTCGTTAAACTATTCACAGGCCATGATTTTTCTCTAGACACTGAATACTTTCATTGATAATATCTCTTGGCCGAAAGAGGGTAAAATGTTCTTCACTGGACATTTGAAACCAACTTTTCCTACACTTTAGAGAGCAGAAAAAAGAGAATTTACTTTCCTTCTCTTTTTGTGTTCAACTTTGGCCAGCATTCAGAAAGCTCTTTTGTGGAGGAGCATCTGGGAATTTTAGAGAGTGCTGACCAATGCTCCCTGAGAAAATGTGGGACAAGCTTTACCGTGGGTAGAGCATGAGGTCTGCATTTAGAAAAAGTGGTGTGAGTGGGACTCTGACCCAGAGAAAGTTACATGATTTCTTTGATCCTCAGTTTTCCTCATCTATAAAATGGAGACAGCACCAATACCTGAAACACAGCATTGTTATGATGATTTTGGGAGTACCACGCTTTGCTCCAAGAAGAGAGACCTGTCCAGGGTTGATTCTGGTACTAAAAGTTCAGATGAAGGCTCAGATGAGAGGACTATGAAATTGCTCTAGGAGACCCAACCTAAATTGGTCTCCCTTTGTGTTGGGGATGATAGGAACCCACAAGCCCTGGTTGGCCACTAACAAGGTAGATAGGAAGGTTATTTAACATTTTGGAACCTCTTCTATATCACGTGGATAATTCCAGCTACTTTGAAGAGTTGTTGGGATAATCAAACCAGATGATTCAGATAAAGTACCTGGCACATGTAGTAGGAGCTCAACAGGTAATAACAATGAATAACATTCAGTAAGCGTGCATCATGTGCTTGGCCTTGTGCCAAATATATTAATACATTGTCTCCCTGGATCCCATAAGGACTCTGTGAGGAAAGTACTACTTTTATATCCATATTACCAATGAAGAAATTGAGGCAGAGAGATGCAGCAATAAATTCTAAAGCCAGGACTTGAACTTGAACAGTGTGGCTTCAGAGTTCACACTCTTACCCATTCTGCTAAATTGCCATTAAAACATTAGATGTTATTGATATGACATACCCTTGTTATGGGTAGTACTCTCTGAGCATGCCCAGGAGTATCCTGGCATTTGGACAGAGCTGGCTCCCAGAGACAGGTCTTGGAACCAGTTCATCCTGCATCTTTCCCTTTCTCATTTCCCTCTTCTAGTCCTCACATGTGCAGGAATGAATACTCTGCTATGTCTTCTTCCTTTCTCCTTGGGGTAAAGGATGAAGGTGGGACATTAGGAAGACACCAGAATTCAAGAAATGGCTATACAGCAAAGAAATGTAAGCACAAGACCCCTCACTTAAGAATCTGTGCTCCAAAGACAAATGGATTAGACTTTTCAAGGACACCTTCTTTATTTCTCTTGCTCATGGATCCTATTGTTAGCCTGGAAGTTTTGTCAGATGATGGGTAGTAAGCATTCCTACATATGTATTGCCAGCTAGTTAGCGTTTCAGTAAAAAAGTAATTTAATTCGTGTGTAGTTTTGCTACTTAATTACCTTCTCAAAGGTGAAACGCTACATCATTGTTAGTGAAAAGATTGAGAATCATTTCTATTTCTTATTATTAGCAGATTAATCATTTCCCTTGCAAAGGCACAGAAAATTGGGAGTAAAACAAAAGAGAAACAGAACATTAAGAAATTTCCCTATCATTCATAATTAAATTGGATTTTTTCATTAAGTAGAAAAGTATAATACACAATAGAAAGAAAGCAGGTACAACACATGAGTTAGGAATTCTACAAAGTATCATGTATAATTACTATATTGTGAGCTTCGCTTTATCATGCTTTTATTCAGGTCTTTAGCATGAACATTGAACATCATGTGTTAGATTTTTAAATTCATTTTATTGGAGAGGGCATTTTGACGTTTAATCCTGGTTTAACTTGTTTCCTAAACAAATTCCTTTTCTTTGTTTGAAGGTTTTTAACTACTCTATAGGAAGCTTTATATTTTGCTTCAATATCCAACTCAGTTATCTCAGAATAGTTATCCTCAACGTTAGAAAGCATGAAATAGTTTTGATGTGTTATGTTTCTAGCTGACCCTTCAATTATCTTTTAATACAAAACTTTAACAGACATCATGTCTTAAAATCTTTTCTTTTTAAACATGTTTTGGAAGTCTCATGTACGCTTAGAAAAGATGCCTTCTATGGCCCCCAGCAAACCTCTCTGTATATTCTTCTCTAAAGGTAGAATGCACATAACCAAGACTGAGTTTGTGAAGGACTAGCTATTTTCTTTCTTGTCTTTCTGCATCATCAGTCATGTGTGATGTGTAATAGGGAAGTGTTTTTCAAAGGCTAATAATTAAAAGACATCATATTCAAAACAGAAATGAGGACACTCACATTGAACAAAGTATGATTACCCTCAAAGAATAAAGCAACTACTAATTTTGAAAGGTAAATATACAGTCAATAAAACATCAAAATAATGGAAACAAAAGTCTGTAAATATTGCTTTAAAAAATTAAGTCATTTCATTTAAGCAGGATTCGATGGTTTTCACAAAGTCTTTGCTACAAATGTTAGTCCCCAAACTACTTTGAATCTTCTTACTATATACTCCCCACCAGCTATTGAATCAAGTTCTCCAGGCAGGAAGATTTACAAGCACATACACACAGGGTGTATTAAACTCATTTCCAAAAAACCTTGGAACGTGCTGTTGCAAGATCTCTTTAGCAGGGAAGCTTAACAGAAGGACAACCACTCAGACCAGTAATTGCAAGATGAGGAAAGAGTCCACTAACTTTATAGGAACAAATTACAAGAGAAGTTTCACAATGCTTCTCATTTGTCACCCTCTCTTATTTCAAATGTATACCCTGTCTTCATCAAAAAAAAACATCCCCAACCCAAAGGTACTAAATTCATATGTTCATTTTGCCCTTTCCCTCCACGCCTCCCTGGGTGTGGATCTTTGGTCTTCCTCTAGGTCCCCAGATCCAATATTGAGAAGTTGAACAAGAGAAAAGTTAGCCGAAATCATTTTACCTGAGCACTGACTCTGGGTGCTGGCAAAAGCAGTCCCCGGAGCAGCTCCTGTTGCTTTCATTTTGCTGCAGCTAGGGCTGGTCATTCCGTTAATAATGCTCTTATGACCGCCCACTGGAAAAAAAAAAAGTCACTTGTTCGGCTCTTCCCCCAAGAGACGTTTCAAGTAAGCAATGAACTTGGGCAGATTAGCCCCTTGGAATGTGCTGCTTCGGGATTAGCCTCACTAAGAATCCCATGGACATTCCCTCCCAGCCCTCAAACACTGCTTGATTTGAACATCTAATCTGACGCCAGAAGAAAAACAAATCCCTGGAGAGATCGGATTTAACTGGCACAGGTCCTAACAGGCTCCCCCGCCTACCCCTCCCTTTTTCTTTTTCCATTTTCAGA